CTCGTGCCCCTAGCTGGCCCCGCGAGCCCCTACGGCCCCGTCGCGCCCCTACGGTCCCGTCGTGCCCCTAGCAGGCCCCGTCGCGCCCCTACAGCCCCGTCGCGCCCCTAGCAGGCCCAGTCGCGCACCTACGGCCCCGTCGCGCCCCTTCGACCCCTCGCGCCCCTAGCCGGCCCCGTCGCGCCCCTAGCTAGCCCCGTCGCGCCCCTACGGCCCCGTCGCGCCCCTACCACCCCCGTCGCGCTCCTATGGCCCTGTCGCTCCCCTAGCCGGCCCCGTCGCACCCCTACCGGCCCCTTGCGCCCCTAGCCGGCCCCGCGCGCCACTACGGCCCCTCGCCCCCCTAGCCGGCCCCGTTGCGCCCCTACCAGCCCCTCGCGTCCCTAGCCGGCCCCGTCGCGCCCCTACTGGCCCCGTCGCGCTCCTACGGCCCTGTCGCGCCCCTAGCCGGCCCCGTCGCGCCCCTGCCGGCCCCTTGCGCCCCTAGATGGCCCCGCGCGCCACTACGGCCGCTCGCGCCCCTAGCCGGCCCCGTTGCGCCCCTACCGTCCCCTCGCACCCCTAGCCGGCCCCTCGCGCCCCTACGGCCCCTCGTGCTCCTACCCCCCCCCCCCCCCCCCCCCCCCCCCGCCGCGTCCCTCACCGGCCCCACGCGCTCTTGCCGGCCCCGCTCGTCCTAGCCGGCCCCTTGTGCCCTAGCCGGCCCCTTGCGCCCTAGCCGGCCTCGTCGCCTGAGGCGCCGAGCCGCCGAGCCGTCGTGTCCCCGAGCCGCCGAGCACCCGCACCGCTGAGCCGCCGTGCCGCCGAGCCGCAGAGCCGCGGTGACGCCGTATCCCCGAGCCGCCGCGCCACCGAGCTGCCGAGCCACCGAGTCGCTGCGCCGCTGAGCCGCTGTGCCGGTGTTACACTGTCTGATGGCGGACGCCGTTCTTCGCTTGGACGCTGAGGGGCACGCGATTGACTTCGCCGCCTGGCTCGTCGACCTCCGCCGGCACCTGACAGGTCAGCGCCAGGAAGGGCACTCCCTGGCTATGCATGTTGATGGTTTGCTTCCCCGCCCCCCTGCGCCTGATCCCCTTCCTGTTGACCCTACCACTGCTGAGAGCGAGGCTTTTGCTGCTGCTGCGCTTGCTCGAGCTGTCTGGGATTCTCGCGACGCAGTAGCCCAGCTTGCCATTAGCCATGCCCTCCCCCTGTCTGAGCGTCCGCGCTTTACTGCTGTCGCGAACGCCAAGGACTTTCTCGTTGCAGTTGTTGAGCGTTACTCCACACCTGCTTCCGCGTTTGCTGGCCGCTTGATCCTACCCATGCTCTTCCCTGATGTTTCTGCATTCCCCACGGTCGCTGACCTCGCTACTCACCTCCGTGCACTAGAGACCAACTACCGCGCTGCTAGCTTTGCCGCCCAGCTTACTGCCTTCCCCCCACCTTTCTGCGCTACCCTGTACCTCATCGCCATGTGCCTGCCTAACCGCCTAGCCACTGCCCGCGACCACTTCCTTAGTCAGCACCCTGCCGACCTTACCCTGACCGCCTTTGTCACTACTCTGTATGAGATAGAGACTTGCCAGCATACTATCGCTCAATCGAGTGGTGTTGCGGCAGTCCCTATCTTTCAAGGCTGTGCCCCCTCCTAGTGCACGTATGCTGACGTCTCCGCCGCAGTTGCCACGACTGCGCCCGCACCGGAGACAGCAGCTGTGGCTTACCCGCAACAGAGCCAGCGCCAGCGCCGTGGCTGACGTGGCCCCAAGGGAGGACGTGGAGGTGGCGCTACTGGTGGTGGTGGCGAGGACAGTGGTTCTAACGAGGGGGTTGGTGCTGGTGCCCAGGAGCAGTAGCAGTCGCCGCATTCGCAGTCGTCGCAGTAGTAGCAGTCGTCGCAGCAGCAGTAGCAGCAGCCGCAGCAGCAGCCGTGGGCTCGTCTCCCGCCCGGGTGGTCAGGAGCCCCTGGCGGTGGTGGTCGTTGTGGTGGCCCTCGCAGCTCGTCGTCCACTGGCAGCTTCGGTGCTGTGAGCTGCCAGTACTAGCTTCAGACCAGGCCCCTGCATGGCACGGTGTACCGCCGTTTGCCCGCTGCTTCTGCCACCTCGATGACCTCTTCCGTCGCCTCTTTGGTCCCGCCCTGGACCTCCCTGAATGGCCCAGCCTTCTGCGCCACGGTGTGCCTGTGTTTGACTTAGACATGGATCTGATTAGTTCTGCCTTGCATTCTCTGTATGCTGACGCTTTGAGTGTTTCCGGATCGTAATACTCTGTGTTCTCTAGCTTAGGCGTAGCACCTGTGTGTAGTTCAGACTTCCCTACTGCGCCAGGCATAGGACAGCTTGCTTTGTCTAGCCTAGGCTCTACCCTTGCTCCTCCATCGTCGGCCAGTACGGCGTCACTATCCTTCACTCTAGACTCTGATGCATCACCCTGTTTCTTCCGCGACCACGCCGCCCTCACGCCGCTTGCTGCGCCTGCCGCTGTCGCCCTCGTGGACCCCTCATCTGGTCCTGTAGTTGCTCGCAGCTACACTACCCTTCCCTATCCAGCGGTTCCCTCGGGTTCCCTTACAGGCCTGCACATTGCTTTGTTCTCCAGGAACTTAGTTGGTGTCGGCTGTCTTCAGGACCTCGGCATCACCACTACGTTCCTTGGTCACGAGCGGTACGCGGTCTGTTCCGAGGCCGCCTCAGGTGCCCCCCTTGCGACGTTCCCCCGGGACCATGTGTCTGGCATGTTTACGCTGGACTCTGCCCCCCCCCCCTCGGCGGACGAGTCCTCCTCCGATCCTGCGTCTACCCAAGTAGCTGCGGCCTGCTTGTGTCGGTCGCTCACTCACCCGTCACTGTTGTGGCACCACCGCCTAGGTCACCCCGCGCTCCCCCACCTGCGTCACATGTCTCAGCACGGTCTAGTCCTCGGCCTCCCTCCATCGCTCCTTGCTCTCCCTCCCTTGCCAGCGCCGCCGTGCACGCCCAATGTCGAGGGCCGGCTGCGCCGTGCTCCTCACTCCTCCTCATTTCGCCCTACCACTGCACCCCTTCAGACCCTGCACTTGGATGTCTGGGGCCCAGCCCCTGCCCCTGGACCGCGTCGCGAGCGCTACTTTCTTGTGCTCGTTGACTACTTCACGCGCTACACCACGGTGTTTCCCCTGGAGCCGAAGGCTGACGAGCCTGACGTTCTTATCCCGTGGCTCGTCGCTGCGCGCCTCCACCGCGGTCTCCTTATGCTGTGTCTCCACTCCGAGCGTGGCGGCGAGTTCGCCTCTGGTTGGCTGGGTCAGTTCTGTCGTGCGGAGGGTATCACCCACATGTACACCCTACCGGACTCCCCGCAGCAGAATGGGGTCGCTGAGCGACGCATCGGTTTTGTCATGGAGGTGGCTCGTACCTCCATGATCCATGCTGGTGCACCCCATTTTCTGTGTCCGTTCGCCGTTCGCTACGCCGCTCACCAGCTTAACCTCTGGCCTCGCTCTCAGCGGCTGCAAGTTTCGCCGACCCTTCTTTGGACCGATTTCCCTGGTGACGCGTCTGCGTTCCACGTCTGGGGCTGCCTTGCCCACGTTCATGCCTCCGGCACGGACAAGCTCACTGCCCGCACCGTCCCCTGTGTCTTCCTCGGTTTCCCCTTTGACTCGTCTCACTGGCACTTCTACCACCTGTCATCTCCGCTTCCTTCACTCCCGTAACGTCACTTTCGAAGAGTCTGTCGCCCTTTTTCACCGCTTTCCTCACCGAGGTCTCCTGGTTTCCCCCCCCCTGTTTCTAGTTCCCACTCTCCCGGTCGCCCTTGCTCCCCTCCCTCCCCGTCTTGCTCCGTCTGGTGTGTCTCACGTCACTCCCCTCCCGTCGGTTGTCCCGGTCGAGGAGTCGGCTTACCCCGGTGGGCCCGCGGCGCAGCTTGCGTCGCCTGTCCCTCCCCCGGTGTCTCCTCCTCCCTTATCGTAGTCGCCGCCGCAGCTGCCGCCGTCACCGCCGTCGCAGCCGCAGCCGTTCGTGGACTCTGGGGGTGCTGGAGTTGGAGAGGGTGCTAGTCCTGGGGCTCCTGTTGTGGCTTGTCCCGGCGGGCTTGGGGGTGGCACCGACGCTGGAGACGTTTCTCGTTCTGGGGGTGCTAGCGTGGAGTGTACCGGAGGTAGCAGTGGTGCAGCTGGTGGTCCAGGTGTCGGCGTTGAGCAGTAGCAGCAGCAGTCGCTGCCGGTGTCTGCCCTTCGCCTGCTCGGCCTCCCCTCCCCTGACCGCTCGCCTGCGCCTCCCTCGCAGTCTCCCCCTCTTCCTGTTCACGGTCCTGTGTTTCCTCCGCCGGACTCGTCCCCGGCTCGTTTCCCCTCTCGTTCCCCTCCTGTTACTCCTCCTCTATCTCCTGACCCAACGCCTCCGTCTCACGTCTGGTCTCGCCGTCCCTCTCGTGCTCGTCCTGTCTCTCCTGTTCAGCATTCTCACCCTATGTTACTTCGTTCCCACGCGTCTCGTCCTCCCCTCCTGCCTTCGCCTCCTCCGTCGTCACTCACTGTCGCACCTCCCTCTCTGTCTGACTACCTTCGTGCTGCTCGTCCTCTTGTTCCTCGGGTCCTTGCCTCCCTCGTTACTGACCCATCTGTTCCTGTCTCCAGTCTTGACGCTCTTGACGCTACTGTCGCTGACTTTGACTCTACTCGCCGCCTTGACTTCGCTACTGCTTTGGTCTCTGACCCTGTCTATCCTCCGTCCGTCGGGGGTGCTCCTGCGCTCTGCAGTACCCCTTATCTAGCCTAGGGGGTGTGTCAACTTATACATATATTGTTATGTAGAAGTTATAGGCTAGATAGGGTATGTTCTTCGTGGGTACAACCCAAACACTATATCTCCCCTGTTCTCCCTTGTTCTAATCATTCATTCTAGTTTTAACAAGCGCAACAGCAATGACAAATAACCGTCCCGATATTACAGTACGGGTCGTTACCCGAGTGCCCTTATTGAGTCGTAAAAGGGAATGTACCCCTTGAAGTGCATAAACCTTGTATCCCTTTCCTCTAATCAATGACTTGTTCTCACATGCCAGTACAAGGGTTCAACTCAAGACTTCCGCTGTGCTATAAAGCACTCTGTTACAAGGACTTAGCCTTCTGAAAAGATCCTAGGGCTATTCTCAGCCCACCATGGTATGAGAGCTAGTCAGAAGCTATGCTCCTGTTACAAACTCCCTCAGTGAGTTTTTAATTCGGTTATAAAACCACTCGCAACAATCTCAGCTTCATCAATCAAGGATACAAGACATGGCGCCATCTAAGGGCGATGGATCCTCTATTGGATCCCCCTCTGCACCTCCAGTCTCTGGACTACAGAATGAGGCAGTCGCAAGTGCAGGAGCCTCTACGCAAATAGTGGCCTCCTCCTCGGGCATGGACCCGAACCTCATGGAAAAAAAATTCTCCTTCATGTCGACCTACGAGCAGTCTTGAGCACCTGGTCGATTTGCACACAACAACAACAACAACAACAACAACAACAACAACAACAACAACAACAACAACAACAACAACAACAACAACAACAACAACAACAACAACAACAACAACAACAACAGCAACAACAACAACAACAACAACAACAACAACAACAACAACAACAACAACAACAACAACAACAACAACAACAACAACAACAACAACAACAACAACAACAACAACAACAACAACAACAACAACAACAACAACAACAACAACAACAACAACAACAACAGTGGAGCATTTCGGATGAGCCTTGATGACGCATCGTACACAAGAGGTGCACAGCTTATACAATACCAACCCTACCAACCCTCGCCAGGCTCGTTCACCTTCCTGCCGACTCCCACACTAGCAGTGGATTCGAAGACAGCAGACAAACAATCTGACATCGTCATTATGCAACAACAATTCAACAACATCGTGAAACTACACACATTCTCACCATTCAACAGCAATGAATTCTTCACTTGGAGCTTCGAGTTTGAGTTGCTGATGGACAGCGTGCAAATCCTCGGCTTCTTCACGTGCTCCTGGCCTTTTCTTGCAAATAGGACTACTCAAGAAAAGAAAAGAAAGGAAAAGAAACCTAGCAGTCGCTGATGGCCTTCACCATCCTCTTGCGCAACTTGACACCAACGGAACAACAAAGCATTTGCAACTTCAGCAACTCGGCCGAACTCGCATACTGTCACTTGAAGAGCGTCTACCAAGCAACCGACAGCGTGACTCAAAGTTGACTGATGGCACAACTTACCGATTCAGATGCAACCAGGAGAAAAGGCGATGGCGTACATCTATCGATGCAAAGGCTTACAAGACATGTTTTTACAAAGCGGAGGGCACTTCGTTTGTTAAGGCCGTCCTCGCTGGCCTCAGTCCCCAGTGGCATACGACGCGCTCCCTTCTACATGCTCACGGAAGGATCTCCGAGGTGCACTTGTGCGCAGAGCTCCACGCCGAGCAGCAAGACATGGACCTGTACGAAGAACGCCACGCAATGAAGCCAAGTCAGCAACTTGTGTTCTACGCACACATGCACAACTACAACAATCAAAACCAAAAACGACACTCACCTCATACTGTCGTCTCTGTCACACGACAGGACCCTCGTGCTTCAACTGCCCAAGACAACAGCAGCAGTAGCAGCCGCAGTTCCTGCAGTATCAGCCTAAAGCGCCACGTCCGTCACCGAGTCCGGCCGTTTCAACTCAGCAACGCCCACCAGCTCCAACGAACCGCTCTGCACCAGACACAAGAAATGTCGTTAGCTGCATGGCACGACCAGATTTCTGCGCACGTGACTCTCCACCTCATTGTGATCTCGACGAACAACCCCCGCTCCGACACAGACCTGGCTCCAACCGAACCTGGCTTACGATGCGATAGCTCGCGACAAACCGTCCGGCCGCGACACTTGGTTTCTTGATAGCTGTTGTGGTCAGCACATGTGTTCTTCGACACGTTTCGTCCAGCAAGAGAAGACTCTGAGCCGAGAAGTCGTTATCACCGTCGCCAACAACCAGAACCTGCGCACTCGAAAAGAAGGGGTCGTTCAGTTACAATCCAGCGAGACAAACGTGATACTACAGTTGTCGCGGGTACTCGTCGTCGACAACTTCAGCTACAATCTACTAAGCGTCAACCAGCTGATGTCGAAGGGTATTCACCTGGAGCGTGACAGCTTCGATCAGGAGTTCCGTCTCTACTAAGGGAAGGGCGGTCTCTTCATCGGCAGAGCTCTCCATAAGCACGGAGTCTTCGTCTTGGACTTCGTTACAGACCGCGGGACCGCTTACAAACGATGGCGTCATCTCCTTCACGTCTTGGATGCACCCGCTGGATCTCGACCCTAGCTTTGACCGTGATGGCTTCTCGTACTCCAACATGATACCTGAAGCAGAAAGCACACTTGCATTAGCAGTGATGCACGAAGAAGAGGAAAATGCACCAGCACCACAACACGCCGCAAAACAACAAGCGCCGATACAGGCACTCCCTGCAAGTCCCATCGCTGGGACTTCATCGGCGCCACCCGTCGAAGAAGCTCCACCTAACACACCACGTGTTGATGAGCCACCGCCGACCGACGTCGAGCACCTGAAGGCGCATCCTCGTGAGCAGAATCGAAGCACTGCGACGGTTTTCGCCTTCTACGCCAACTCGGACCTGTACCGTCGATCTGTGGGACACAAGGCAAGCGAGGAGATCTGGCATAGAGGTTATGACATCCTAGCAACTCACGCCTATTCGACACGATTCGTGCGAACATCCTGGAGAACGACACTCTCCTACTTCTCAATGGTCGTGAACTCCTACGGCCTCGATGCACCTGCTTTATCTGGCCTGAACCAGATCTTCCTTCTGAACCGTTCCCGTCATATCACAACCCAAGCGCACCGGAGTATGCTCCTCTCGAAAAATTATACAGTGATATATTGTATATCACCCGAGAAGTCGGCCGGGCTGACCTCAACTACGTCATCACCTTTGTCGATGCCGCCATACGGTACACCTGGCATCTAAACCTACCGTCACGCGACCTCAACTTCTCTGCCTTCGTCGCATGGCTTGCTGCAGCAGAATGGGAGGGAGATATGAAATTGAAATTCTTTCAGTCAGTCGGGGTGATGGAATACCAGTCACAACGCTTCAAGGACTACCTTGCTAAGAGAGGAATCAAGAGGCTCGTCACCCTCCCCTACGCTCACCAACAAAACGGTGTAGCAGAGAGGATGAACAGAACTCTCCAGAACACCAAGAGGAAGCTACTAATAGGGATGCGTTTGCCCAGCTTACAGTGGCCGGAAGCGATGAATCACGCCGTCATGCTGCAGAATCTTATGTCGTCAAGCTCCCAGCCAAACAACGCATCACCGCATTTGCTGTGGACACGGAAGCAGGGGAGCACAAAATTGTTACGAGTTTTCGGTTGCATGGTACAGTACCGAGCACACACTGCACGAGCTGGACAATTTTCGCAGCGGGCAAGATGGGGTCTAAACCTCGGAGTGGAAAAACATTACAAGGCATAGAAAATCTTCGACGTGGAAGACAAAGAAACAGTACCGGCACGTGATGTGATTTTCTACGAGAACCTCACCCTCAACCATTACCTGAAGAACATCGCCACAAATCAAGACCCATCTAGTGGTTTCGCTGGCGCAAGCACGTTCGCCTCGACAAACGAAGAAGTTGACCTAGACGAGCAGAACATCCCGAACGCGTCAGTAGCTACAGGACCACTCCCTTACTTCTCAATCGACATGCAAATGGACAAAGAAAACCCTCGCAAAAGCGTGAACGCTGAGGCATAATACCATTTCGCCGACACCGGTAACGTAATACCCCACAGCCTCGACACCAACGTTTTAGAAATAGTCAGACCTGGTTTCATACCTGATCCTAAAGCGGGAGACAAAGCAGACTATCCTGAGGATCCGACACTCCCCCGCTACACCGAGACTGGCCTGCAAATCCTCGGACTCGTCGCAGCAATACATCCGACATCCTCGCTGCCGCCAGTTGAGCAGCCAAAGACAGTCAAACGGACGCTGCAAGGACCACACTGGGAAAATGGAGGGAGGAAATGGATTGTGAATTAACGGCACTGCACGAGAGAAACACTTGGAAGCTGATTCCAATTTCTCAGACCAAGGGGAAGACAATCCTCTCCGGGAAGTGGGTCTTCTGAGTGAAGACAAAGGCAGATGGGACCATCGAACGATTCTAAGCACATTGGGTGGTTCGCGGCTTCGGCCATTAGCACGACCGTGACTAGACCGGAACCTTCGCTCCGGTCAGTTGCCACACTTCTCTCCGTATTCTCCTTGCCATCGCCGCGGCCCGCCGGCTTCCTCTACGACAGATTGATGTTGCCACCGCATTCCTCTACGCCCCCGTAGATGCCGACATCTTTGTCGAGCAGCCACACACATACATCGATGATCCAACGCTAGTGTGCCAGCTCGTCAAATCCCTCTACGGGATCAAACAGGCCCCGCGCCTATAGCAGGAGTACCTGCACAAAATCCTCACCGCTATGGGCTTCGCCCAGCTGCCCTACGACCAAGGCATGTATCGTATTTCTCGCAGCGACGACTACGTCCTGCTGATAGTCTATGTAGACGACCTTCTCTACGTCGGCTCCACCATCTCCATCACCACCTGGTTCGAAGGGGGGTTGGAGCTTCAGCTCACCATCTTCTTATCGCTGACCGTGACGTAGTACCTCGGCCTCAACATCACGGAAGGCCCCGACACCATCCACCTATCGGCCTCGAAGTACGCCGAGACCATCGCTCGGCGGTTTGATCTCTCCCCGCTACCTCTCGCTACTTCGTACGCATACGCGCCGTCAGTTCCCGCGTCGACCGCCTCGCTACTCGGACCGGCTTGAATTCAGGAATATCACCTGCCGTCACCTGCCGTCCTGATCTCTCATACGCCACTAGCCAGCTCGCTACGTACCTTAAGCGATCTGAAGGGGGGAATCTACAGAAACTCGATCGCACGCTCCACTACTTAATCTCGACTCCGACAATTGGCCTAACCTACCACAAAAACGCCACCACCAAGACCAAACTCATTGGCTACGTCGACGCCGACCATGCCGGCGACAAGGATAACAAGCGCTCACGCATCGACTACATCTATCATCTGGAACCTATCAGCACTATCTCCTAGCACTCGGGTAAACACGAACTGATTGCTCTCTCATCAGCTAAAGAGGAATATATCGCCCACAACCACAAATGTACTTACGCAAGCTGCTCGAAGAAGCAAAGATTGCCGAGTTACCAAGCTTCTCCCTCTTCTGCGAGAACCAATCGGCAATCAGAATCGTGAACAAAAACGAATTCGCCAACCATACGAAGGACGAGATCAAGCAGGGACGTCTCCAATTGGTCTACTACCCCACCACCGAAATGGCAGCCGAATACTTGACCAAGAAGCTGATGACTTGACCAAGTCGAAGTTCCAGTACTGCATTGTCACAGGATCGAATGTGTCGAGGAAAGGTTGCACTATCGATCAGTACAAGGCGCTTTTATACTTCCAGAGTACATCAAGTAACCAGGTTTATCTTATCCTAAGGGAATAGACCCTTCTAGAAGATAGAATCACCCTGCGTATAGCCACGCGAGGCTATTGGCTTTAAGAGATTATGGCAGGATTACGCTAGATAGCGTGTCTAGAACATTCCATGCCTGGTCGGTGATATAATAATAATAAAGGAAGAAACCAAAGGATAATGGAAAATGGGGAATATGAGGCAAAAGGAGGTGAGATAAAAAGAGGAATGAAATGAAGATGAAATATGGAAAAGGCCAAGTGGTGTAACGGAGGCGTACTCTCACACTTCCCCCCCTCAAAGCTGGGTGGTAGAAGTAACACCCTGCTTGACAAGGTAGTCATGCAGAGGACGACGGGCGTTACCCATGTCGGTCTCAGAGACCCAGCTGTCCTCAGAAGGATCATAACCCTTCCAACGGATGAGAAGCTCCACGGTGCCATTCCGACGACGGCGGTGTGCGAGCACGGACTCGACCTCGTACTCGGGTTCGTTCTGGACGAGGACGGGCGGCGGCGGCGGCGGCTGGCGTCCGACGAAAATTGTGTTCGGGTCCCGATAGGGCTTCAGAAGTTGGACGTGGAAGGCGTTGTGAATCTTCCAGGTAGCTGGCAGGCGTAAGCGGAAGGTAACAGGAGTGACCTGTGCTTCAACGAGAAAAGGCCCGCAGAAGCGAGGTCGAAGTTTAGATGGGAGGTGGCTGATGTCCAGGTTGCGGGTGTCAAGGAGAACCTGGTCTCCCACGGAAATGGTGTGGTCGTTGCGATGGCGATCGGCCTGGCGCTTCTGTTGCTGTTGAATGTCAAGGAGGCGCTTATGGGTCCGATCCCAAAGTTGATGCATGGTTGTAATGAAATCATGTGCGGGTTGGACTGTAGGTGATGCTGTCGGTTTTTGTGGTGTGAGTGGGTGGCGTCCGTAGCAGAGGTAGAACGGCGTCTGTCCAGTAGCGGCATGTGTAGCATTGTTGTAAGCAAACTCGAGAACGGGCAGGTGCAAGTCCCATTTGGAGATGTCGTCCTTGCAGGCTGCTCGGAGGAGTTGCTCAACAATTTGGTTGAGGCGCTCGGTCTGTCCGTCTGTCTGCGGATGGTATGCGGATGACATGGCGAGTTTGGTCCCGAGAAGAGACATAAGTTCCTTCCAGAACCTGCTGGTGAACTTGGGGTCTCGGTCGGAAATGAGTGTGGTTGGGATGCCATGCTGTGAGATGATGTGACGAACGAAGAGCTGTGCTGTCTCCTCGGTGCGT